TTATTTTACTTGTTGGGAGTATAAGGATGGACAAATGTGATTTAGTTTACTTGTTGGGAGTATAAGGATGGACAAATGTGATTTAGCCTAATGGCATGTGGGAGGTAAAAATTTATCTGAAATGTTATAGTGTGTGAGTTGAAACCAATTATAAAATATTTTATATCGAAATTATTGATATAAAAATGTGTTGGGTGGCTGTAACCCAACTATGGTTGAGTTAAATTATTTAAAAAAAAAATTTTGGTGTGTTACAAATTTTGGTATCAGAGCTATATGTTTCCAATTCTTATAAATTATGAAATTGTTATACATTAACCTAGTTTATTGGCAATATACATTATTAAATCATAATGCTTCTCCATTATTTTTCTTATCTTGAGATTAGTGTTAACTTAATTATGTGACTTCCATCCTTTAGGAGGGGAGAGATGGTGTCCAAAACTAGGAGAGGTGGTGAAATTGCCGGTGATTCTATAGAGCCAATAGGAAATGACATACCTTCACTGCCACAACCAGAGCCCACACAGCAACAAATCGGGCAGGGCGAGCCTATACAGTCACAACTAAGGCAGGATGAGCCAACTATGAGGCAAATGATGGATTTACTATATAATCTTAGTGACCGCATGAAGAGACAAGAAGAAGAGTTGGCCGCTTTAAAACAATATAAGGAGAATTCCAACCGAGAGGGAAATGGCCAACAAGAAGGAAGCCATACCAAAGTATTAAATGCGAGCCAATTTGCTGATGAAGGCTCACCTTCCTATTCTCACCATGAGACTAGTCCGAAGAATGTGAGTCTCCACTCTGAGCAACAGACATCCATGATCACAAAGATCTGGAGTACTTTTCGTAAGTTTAATCCTCTACTTTCGATGGAAATCTTAAGCCGGCGGTAGTTGAAGAATGGATAGATCAATTGGAGAGTATTTTTCGTATGGTTGTGTGTACTTCTAATCAAAAGGTGCAGCTGGCAATATTCTTACTACAGAAGAGTGCTAAGAAATGGTGGGAAACATCAGGACCGAAGGATGATTCCTCTCTTACTTGGGAAGATTTTAAAGCCATATTGTTCGAGAATTATTTTCCTACTGCACTGAGAGCAGAAAAGGAGGCTGAGTTTCATGCATTTCGTCAGGGTGATCTAGATGAGGATGAATTTATTGAACAATTCTCAGAATTATCTAAATACTCTACTTACCTCCAGAAACATGAAGATACAGAGTGGATGGCTGAACGATTACTAGAGAAGGCGAGGCCTGATCTAAGGGAACAGTTAGCCCCTTTTGAGATCAAGACCTTCAGTGAGATGTGCAATAAGCTTCGAATAGTTTCTCGGAGGAAGAGAGAGGCTAGATTAGAAGCTGATAGAGAGAGGAGGAAAGAACCTCATGGGAAACCCCCTATCCACACCAGACCCATTGGTAGAGTAGAGAAGAGGAGCAGTCAAATCTTTGGAGGCTTTAGAAATCAGAAGAAGAAGGGCTACTACCATAAGGGCCAAAGCTACAGAGGGAATCAGAGTGGGGGTCAAGGGTCTTACAGGAGCCCAGCTACCTTTAATCCTACTCCTGGTGCTGCTAGTAATCAAGCATGCAGTAAGTGTGGGAAGTTTCATTCTGGTGATTGTTGGGTTTGTTACATCTGTCAGAAGCCTGGTCATATTGCTCGATTCTGCTATCAACTAAAATAGGGGTAATGATCAGAGACCTATAGTACCAGCACGAGTGTATGCCCTCTCTGGGCCAGAGGCTGCTAACAACCCTAATGCTATCAGAGGTATAATCCGAATCCTTGATAATGATGTTTGTGCTTTGTTTGATTCGGGTGCTACACACTCTTTTGTGTCTGATGAATGTGTGAAAAGATGTAAATTGCCTGTGTGTACCTTACCTTTTGATGTGAAGATTTCTACTCCTGCTGGTTTGACTGTAAGGACTGCTAAGGCATGTCTAAATGTAGAGGTTGAGTATGAGGGTCGAAAGACCACCATAGACCTCATTTGTTTGTCTTTGTCTGGGATTGATGTTATTGTGGGGATGGATTGGTTGTCTGCAAATGGAGCTGTACTTGATTGTCAGAAAAAGAGTGTGTCACTTCAGCTCTTACTGTAACCCCTGTAGAGTCCCAAAGTCCTATGTTGTTGTCTGCAGCTCAAGTAGAACAGTGTATAAGAAAGGGCTGTCAAGCTTTTATGATTTTCTTCTCAATCAAGGCAGAGATTGAAGAAGGTGTAGATCAGATTCCAGTAGTGAGAGAATTCCCTGACGTCTTTCCTACTGAAGTGATCGGTTTGCCTCCAGAACGAGAGGTTGAGTTCTCAATTGAACTCGTACCTGGTACGGGGCCTATTTCTAAGGCACCCTATAGGATGTCTCCATCGGAGTTAGCTGAGTTGAAGAGACAAATTGAAGAGTTGTTAGAGAAGGGGTTTATCAGACCGAGTGTATCACCATGGGGGTCACCGGTACTGTTTGTGAAAAAGAAAGATGGAAGCCTTAGATTGTGTATTGATTATAGACAATTGAATAAGGTAACCATCAAGAACAAGTACCCCTTACCTCGAATTGATGATTTGTTAGACCAATTAGTCAATTCAGCAGTGTTTTCTAAGATTGATCTAAGATCAGGGTATCATCAATTGAGGGTTAGAGCAGAGGATATCCCTAAAACTGCTTTTAGGACTAGATATGGGCACTATGAGTTCCTAGTGATGCCGTTTGGGTTAACAAATGCCCCAGCTGTCTTCATGGATTATATGAATCGAATCTTCAGGCCTTATCTCGATGAATTTGTTGTAGTCTTTATTGATGACATACTTATTTATTCTCGAGATGAGGTGGACCATGCTAGACATCTTAAAATTGTTTTGGAGATATTAAGAGAGCACAAGCTTATGCCAAGTTGAGCAAATGTGATTTTTGGCTTAAAGAAGTTAAATTCTTAGGCCATGTTGTTTCAGAAGAAGGGGTAGCAGTGGACCCTAGTAAGATAGATGCAGTGATGAAATGGGAGCAACCTCGAAGTGTGACAGAGATTAGGAGTTTCTTGGGTCTTGCAGGCTACTATCGTCGTTTCATTAAGGGTTTTTCACAAATTGCAATGCCCTTGACTAAGTTGACCAGGAAAGATGCTCCATTTATTTGGACGAACGAGTGTGAAGTTGCCTTCCAGGAGCTGAAAAAGAGGTTGACCACCACACCGGTGCTCACCTTACCTGTTCCAACTGCTCCTTATACCTTGTATACTGATGCTTCTAAGAAAGGTTTAGGTTGTGTATTGATGCAGGAGGATCGAGTAGTGGCTTATGCCTCTCGACAGTTGAGACCTCATGAGGAAAATTACCCTACTCATGACTTGGAGCTTGCTGCTGTGGTATTTGCCTTGAAGATTTGGAGGCACTATCTTTATGGTTCTTCTTTTGAAGTCTTCAGTGATCATAAAAGTTTAAAATATTTGTTTGATCAAAAGGAGCTCAACATGAGACAGCGCAGATGGATTGAGTTTTTGAAGGATTATGACTTTGAGTTGAAGTATCATCCAGGGAAAGCTAACGTAGTCGCCGACGCTCTGAGCAGGAAGCTTGTACATACTGCTCACATGATGGTCAGAGAACATGAATTATGGAGTAGTTTTCATGCAGTAAATGTAGAAGTAGTCGAAAATCGTTTGGCTGCTCTACATATTACTGAATTTGAGAATAATTTTTGGGAAGAAATCAGAATTTCGCAGCAGAAGGACGATTATTTGAATAAGATTAGGGTAGAGATTGGGGCTGGAAAGGCTGAACATTTTGATGTGACCGATGATGATGTCGTAAGATATAAAGGTAGAGTGTGTGTGCCTAATGATACTCGATTGAAAAATATCTTACTTGAGGAGGCTCATCAGAGTAAATATACCATTCACCCAGGAGCAACTAAGATGTATCATGACTTAAGACGTGGTTGGTGGTGGCCAAGGATGAAGAGAGATGTAACTGAACATGTAACTCGTTGTTTGACTTGTCAGAAAGTCAAAATTGAGCATCAGAAACCAGCCGGGATGCTACAGTCTCTTGATATTCCAGAGTGGAAATGGGACAGTATTTCTATGGACTTCATTACAGGATTGCCTAGAACATCTTCTGGTCATGACACTATATGGGTAATCGTAGATCGACTCACCAAATCAGCTCATTTTCTTGCTACTAATATCAAGTATTCTCTTGAAAAATTAACTGAAATCTACATAAGAGAAGTGGTGAGATTGCATGGAGTGCCGACAAATATTGTATCTGATCGTGATCCGAGATTCACATCAAACTTTTGGAAGTCATTACAGGAAGCCATGGGTACTCGTCTGAGTTTTAGCATAGCTTACCACCCCCAGACCGATGGGCAAACGGAACGAACCATACAAACTCTTGAAGACATGTTAAGAGCTTGTGCCATTGAGCTTAGAGGTAATTGGGATAGTCACTTGCCATTAGCTGAATTTGCCTACAATAATAGTTTTCATTCTAGCATTCAGATGGCACCTTATGAGGCATTATATGGAAGAAAATGTAGATCGCCACTGTGTTGGACAGAATTAAGTGAGAGAACTGTTTTGGGGCCGGACATTGTTGATGAGACTACCCAAAAGATTGCTTTAATCAAGCAAAAATTACTCACAGCTCAAAGTAGACAAAAGAGTTATGCGGATAAGAGGAGAAGACCGCTTGAGTTTGAAGTAGGTGACCATGTATTTTTGAAAATCTCTCCGGTAACTGGTGTTGGAAGAGCTATTAAGGCTAAGAAATTGACACCAAGGTTTATGGGGCCTTTTGAGATCTTAAAACGAGTTGGACCAGTAGCGTACCAAGTAGCATTACCACCCCAAATTGCTGGAATACACAACGTATTCCATGTGTCACAACTGAAAAAGTATCAACCAGATCCTTCCCATATAATTGAACCCGAGGAGATTGAACTCAGGGAGAATTTGACATTCAGAGCTGAACCAGAAAGGATTGTGGATTACAAGGACAAGCAATTAAGAAACAAGACCATTAGATTGGTTAAAGTAATTTGGAAGGGCACGACTCCAGGTGATGCTACGTGGGAGACCGAGGACAGTATGCGACGTGATTATCCTCGTCTTTTTGATTAAGTAAGTAGTTAATAGTTACTAACTTTAAATTTTGAGGACAAAATTTCTAAAAGGAGGGGAGAATTGTAACATCCCAATTTAAATTTTAATAGTTAATTTAGGTTAATAGAAATTTAAAAAAAATAATAATTAGAGGTAAGAAAATTAGTAGAAAATGATTATTAAATCTAATTTAGGATATAATTCTAAATTTAAAAAAAATATTTAAAAAAAAAAATTATTAAAAAAATTATTAAATTATTATTATAATAAAAAAAAGGGGAAAAGGTATGCCAAAAAAAAAAGGAAGAAGAAGAGAAAACGAATTTGCTTTCGGCGCGCATGAATAGTAAATATAAAATAATAATAAAAAAAAAGGGGGAGAGAGAGAAGAAGAAATAATAAAAAAAAATGTGTGGGACCCACTGAATTTTTATAAAAACTCACCTTCCTTCATTTCCTCATTCATTCCTGCGCGCGAGCTGAGGCGGAGAGAACGCGAGTCGCCAGTGCGAAATATCTAAATTTTTAAGGTAAGAGTTTTTAATAGGATATTTAGGGTGTGATTTTAAGCTTTTCAAGACTAAGTAAGTGTTCTAAAAATTTTTCTTAGTCATCTTCTTCTTTGGTTTCTGATTTTGTAGTGGTAGAAAATTTAAGATCTGGAAGAGGGATGAATTTATGTTGAATAAATATGGTTTTTGAGGTTGTTAGTAGTATAATAAATATTCTAGAGTATAAATTTATTGATGATCTTTGAATTTATGGCTTATGGATCAAATTCTAAACTAGATCTGAAAATATATGTTGATTTATTGAGGTTTAGATGATTATTTGGGATGAGAAATGAATTATTATGGCTATAGGATTATGATTCTAAGCTAGAGACTCAATTTTTAATTTTTGAGTATTTTAGGTGCGAATTTATAAAATAAAAAGAAAATTTTGATAATAGAAATTAGTTTAGAAGTTGATTTTTAGATTATTAATGTTTATTGATAATTAAAAGAGGAGTTAAAAATTATACTTAATAGTATTAACTATAGATTTGTATTAAGATTGAGATTAGGAATTATGTTATATTTTTAATTCTATTATTAGAATTATTTTATTAGTTTCAAAAATTGAAACTAATATTTATAAATAATATGTTATTTGTAGATTGTATTACTGGTGAAGATTGTGGTGAGAGAGAAATTTTAAGGAATAATTTATTGAAAAAGCCACAAGGTAACCATGCTTTTAATTTATGATTAGTGTTACTTCATGTTAATTGGGTGATTATTGAGAAAATTATAATTTTGCAATATTATATAATTGTGCAATATTATTATAAATTTATTTGATTATTGTGGGAGGTGTTGGGAGACTTGCTATTGTTGTTGTATTTATGTGCCACGTGGTATGCCCCTATTGGAGCTCAATAGGTGGTTTGTAAGGGCTCGGGCTAATCTACCTTTGGCCGGGTAATTTAGTATCGAGTGAGGGCTACGGCTCGAGGTTAATGGAGGGATATAAGGATGGTTGTTTGTGTGTATTGTAATATTTCATATATTTGTTGGAATTATATTATTTTTAATTCTCACTTAGTAAGCACACACTTAACTGTTTGTATACACTATCATAAATTGGCTTTGGTTACTGGGACTTTTGAGTCTCATTATGTGGTTAACAATTTTCAGGAGAAGAGCCACGAGTGACACGTGGAGGAGTCCCAGAGGCTTAGTGGTATAGATCCACTGTCTCTTTTGGGTATTTAATTTATGATTTATAATGTGTTATATTGCCAATATTAGGGCTTTTTTGTTTATTGTCAATTATATGAATATATAAATGTAATCATGCCTTTTAAACTATTTCTATTTTTGGTATAATTTGGATGATTGTAATTTTAATATTTGGTTTACTTTGGATTGGTTAAAATGGCATGATTATAAGGCCAAATAACTGGCTTGTGTTGAAAATTGACTAAATTGCTTATTTTACTTGTTGGGAGTATAAGGATGGACAAATGTGATTTAGTTTACTTGTTGGGAGTATAAGGATGGACAAATGTGATTTAGCCTAATGGCATGTGGGAGGTAAAAATTTATCTGAAATGTTATAGTGTGTGAGTTGAAACCAATTATAAAATATTTTATATCGAAATTATTGATATAAAAATGTGTTGGGTGGCTGTAACCCAACTATGGTTGAGTTAAATTATTTAAAAAAAAAATTTTGGTGTGTTACACATATCATGAAGGAAAAGTCATATATGGTTGAAGATACCTGCATGTGGTTCTAAAACATGATAAGAAGTGTAAATTTTTAAATATCCAAAACGGTTATTCGAATAAATGGGAGAAAAGTAACATTTTTAGGATATTCAAAATGCATATCTGAATATGGCTTAGAACTCGAGGTTTGAATATTGCACTAATATTATGTCTTCATAATATCAAAAATGTGTATTCTAAATTTTTTTTTTCATGAAAACATCCAATGATATGTTGAAAATGCAAAAGGTTATTCTAAAAATTTACTATTTTTTAATGAAAATACCAAATAATACTTTGAAAACACTAATGGATATTATAAAAATTTGCTTATTTTTTATTAAAACACCAAAGGATATTCTTAATAGTCACTATTATTATATATAAAGCTTCATCACACAACTTAAAGCATAAAGAACAGTAATTGAACACTAACAAATCCATTTACCGTTAAATAATAATGTGTTTTTACATCCCTTGACAACATAAATTACATTACATTACAACAAGATAATATAAAAATTTATATATTGTTTGCCAAACACCTTCATGTACAAGTGCAACATTCTCGTAGTATAAGTAAGGAGGTCCAATATCATTTTCTTCCTCATGTTCTTAAATTACTTCTGAAACTAATTTTTTAGAAAATCTCATTCCAACAAAGTGTTTGAACATCTTTGATTTAATGAGTTTGCTTTCGAATTCCAATTATAATTATCACTTTCCAAGCCAAAATTATCCACATCCATCTTTAGTCTCTTGACAACAGTTCCCATTATGCTAATAATTAATCTGTACAAGAAGAAAACAATAATAAAAAATGAGTAGAACTTAAATTCTTCAATAACAATATACATATGCTAGTGCTTAATAGGCCACCTCATATTTGTGGGACATATGTGGCTTCATACAAATGCAAAAATTCTTCTACAGTGATATTTAGTACAGACATGAACAAACCAATTCTAATCCTCTGCAATATTATGATAGTATATGAACAAGTACAGAGGTACAATGAATAAGTAAATTAAATTAACATGAAAATTGGAAAATCACAACTCTTGGAAACCTAAGCACCATCTAGTCATACTTAAATATACTTTCAATAGTGACTAAGTGAGAACAAAGGTAGAAAAGCACATGCCATGATCAAATTGATAGCTAGTCATTTATCGACTTCTTGAATGTTTTAATTTGCCTCAAATGGCCTCTTGTGTAAACCTTTCAAGCAATGACTAGATTGAAGCAAATTAAATGCATTTGATGATTCAATATAGAAAAGGTGGGGTCAATTCAAGAGCAAATTAAACAAATGATTTTCACATGATTCAGATAAAGAAGCCTTATTATCACAACTCAGCTTGTAATAGTATCCCATTTGATCAAGAAATGTCATTCCCTCGTCACCTTTCCATTAGTGCTTCTGCATTGTAGAAAGCATCAGGATGAGATCTTGATTTCATAAACTTCATGGTTATCTATTTAGTATGTAAAAAGTGGTTTTCATAGTGATTGAGCTTTTTGGGCATTCACAAAATGAAAATTCAATCTTATATAACTTTAAAGATTCAAGCTTAAACATATCACAATTGATAATTCCATTTTAATCTATACAAGTCACAGCACGTTTACACATGATAGTTTAATTCAAAAGCAGAGATAAGGCATCAAAAGGAATTACTAACTATATTTTCTTAGCTCCAAGAACTTCAAAAAATATGCATTATTTATGGAGTTTTCCTATGTTGCAAACTATCCAAATATCGTTTTGAGAAGAGGAAACAACAAGAAGCTGTAAAGACAACTAGAGTATTTAACTTCTAAAATGTACAAAATAAGAGGCTTGGTTATAACTTAAAGGCAGAGCAAACTAAGACCCTACCTTACTCTCCATTATGCCCTGACTTCAATGGCTTCTCTAAATTTGATTTAAGTTCTCTACTCATGAGATGGATTTGATGAGAGATCGGTCAGGTCAAGTGAATTTGTCGTCTAGTCTTTTCTAACAATTTTTTAAATTTTAAATGAGTTAGATATGAGAGTTAAAAATAAAAACTAGGTCACAAACAAAAATCATGCAAGGGATAAAATTGTGTCATGTCAAAAGTCATGAAGTTTTTTCACCTGGGGTGGATCATTAAGAATCATAATATTAATTTTTTTTTCTAGAGACTTGGTGGGAAAACAAATTAGTGCAATTATTAGCTTCTTTATAAACATGATAAAAAAATAAATGTCCAATCTTTCATTATAAAATCCTTGATTTTCTTGATAATTTTGAATATTGGATGGTTCTCGGGGAGTTATATTGAATGAGCAACAGAGCTTCTATTGAATCAAGAAAAGATAAGACATTCCACTATATCCATTAGTTATACAACATTTCAAGGATTATTAACCAAGATATATGGAGAATCCCATAATCCATTATCCTTGTTCCTCACAAATTATACTGCTACATGCAACTATCACATCGATGTTAACTAAACCATCAATATCAAGTTTTATCCATCTTCATTTAGGGGGGCTCCAATTTTTTTTCAAATATGAAATTGCCATTCCTTAGAAATTTGAATCTTGATTAAAGTTTTAGATCATTGATTACTTGTGAAGTCGAAGAGATACAATGCGGTATTTTTATCTTGGTTTTTTTTTCAAAGTAAACTTTCTAGCATCTAACTTTTCAAATGTTCTAACAGTCTTGTGTAAATAGTCTTTGTCACAATGTTATCCTTGTACCAGTTATAGAGCTAGGGTCCTAGCTTAGAAAGGGCAATGGTGGAGTCAGGATTCCTAACACAAGGAAAAAAAATTTTGTCTCTTCTAAATACACTATTTCTCTTTATTTCTTTATTATTTTTTGTTTTTTCATTTAACTTTGCAAGTACAATGAGCTAGTGAAAAAGATATTCAACAAGTTTACTCTTGAATCTTGAATCTCTATTTTTCATTTTTTTTCTTTTGATTAATCTCTAACTAGTATTTGGGATGAGGATGATGTGGCTTTGGTTTAGTCAAATTAATTTTTTATTTTTTAAAAGATTAATAAATAATATTGGTATTTAGATATAATGAAATTTCAAATTAATATTCACTGGGCTTTGAGTTAAAAAATTAAATTTTAGATCTAGGCTATAAAAAATAAGATTGAAATGTGTTTAAAATTTAAAATATTAAAATAAGGGAGTGTAAAATATAAGAAAAAGAGGGTACAAACTACAAAATATCAAAACTCATACCCCATGCATGTTATTTTTGCCAAGTTAAGGGGGTGCATATGACCCCCCTTAACTACAAGTAGCTCTGCCTATGCCTTGTACCAATGCTTCATGCATACTATTTTCATTTCAAAGTATCTAATTCTACACAAAATGGGAAAAGAATGCGTTAAGCTTAGAATGTTTACTAATTTCATCATGAGATTCCTGGCTTCATTACAATATGAGAGTCTTTTAGGGTTCAAAACAGCTTAGGAGCAAAAGACAACATATCAAAGGCAAGTGCTAAAATCACATACTTCTGAAGTATAGGTCGTGTTTTAATTAACTGAACATACCACATTTTTGTTGTATTCACGTTCTCTTCATTTGCATTTTCATTTTTAAACAGTACTTCTTTGAGCTTTAAATATAAGGTAATTAAACTAATTAAGTCACATATTAAAAAAAGGAGTTGGTTTTTTATTCTTAATCAACTCAAAAAATAGCAATTATTTTGATGTATACTCTTATTTACTGCACTAATATAAAAAAATATATTAAATTATTTTAAACACCCTTAGCATTCATCAAAATTTAAAAATGGATCAATGGCACCCTAAGCACTAAATACTAGCACAATCTAAAGAATGAGAAAAGGGTAGAATTAAAAGAAAATTTGTCAATACTACACATTATATCCTATATATATAGATATAAAAATTAAGTTATATCGATTTCACGAGAATTTTGCATCCTCAATGTAGATAATTAAAAATAAGAAAATCTAAATTATCTTCGGTTATTTGGTGTGTAAACATATTAGCATATTTTTTTGCTTCTCTAAGTATATGGTCGAAAGTTATTGTTCTTTCATTTTGCAAAATCCTTGCTTTCTTTTATAGTTTCCAATAGGGGATGACCTTCAGACAAATTATGCTGGATAACCAATTAAGCTTTCATAGAATTATGATAGATATTGATTTTAGTGAATTTAGTGTTCCAACAAAAATGAAGTCCTTTTAAAGTGCCTAATAATTTTGCTATAGTATTAGGGTATTAGCCAAAATATTTTGAAAATCTCTTAATTCAATTTCTTTTCTTGTCATGTATGATGCTACTGTAGAAACCAAGAGACCAAACTATAAGAAATCCCTTACTAAACCACGTTTAATTTCAAATCATGGCAATCTAGGGTTTAACCCTCAAAAGATTACTAAATTGTAAAGTTTTATAAAGAAAATTTTTCAAATTCTTTCAAAGAAATCTCAATTTTAACAATTCAAATCTCAAACATTACTTAATAAGTCCATGTCAGAGTTTTAAAAGTAAAACGAAAGCTGG